AATTGCTGTTTCAGCCTCGGCTGTCACACTGTTCTTTAGTCTATAATGCATTTGCTGTGGGGATATTTACACACAATCCCTCAAGTCTAATAAATAAACCAACCAACCAGCAAGTAATTACGATGCCTGAAAAGACTACTAAGAAGAGGCTTATAATTATGATCAATAGAAACAAGAGGATAAATGTGTAAAAATTGAATATGGTGAGAAAATGATGAATTCTGTACATGTAGATGGAATAAATCTTCCCAAATATGTAGTAAAATTCACAGCTTAACAGGGAAAATAGCTGACTCAAAAATTTTTTCAATGAGATAAAAAGTAAGGAAAAAAAAGGTGTGTGTTAGAAATAGTATCCACAAGAATGTGAGGGACCAATACACATTTCCTATTTGATGAAATTAGTTTGTGGACTGTGAACTTTAATTCTCATTCACTTGGAATTTGTAGACAATCAGATTTACAGAGAGCCTTTTAGAATGCAGTCAGTTCATTAGAAGATAAGTTTCTGAATTTATTTTATTATACTGTAGCTAGCACATGGATACAGGTGATTTTACCTGATAACTGTAAGTCCTTTGAAGGTGGAGACTGGATCTTAGTTATCTTTATACTTCTTGTGTGTCTACCATAAAGTTTGGCATGTAACAGCTGCTCATTCTGAATAGAAGACATTGTAAAGTTAATTCATCACGTGATAATCACAAACCAACTTAACACAGTAGACCCTGGCCTATCTATACGGCCATTCACCCATAGGGAGGCTTTCATTAAAATTGTTTTCATATTATTGGAATATCAAATTTCTTTCGGTAAAATTTTTTGAATTTTTTGAAGACTTAAAAGAGCAGACTCCTAGAAATACCTCATTCTCCATATATGTCCTCATGCTCTGACAATAAGTCTTGTTTGCAAGCCAAAATTGGACTGCTAATTGGAAAGTTCAAAGATAGGTTTGGGGATTACAAAGAGGACACAGACTTTTTAAAAGAGAGTTTGAGTTACTGAAGAGAGGCAAAGAGTAGAGTGTTCTGTGGAATCTCTGCTGCAGGGCCGTGTCCAAGAAGCAATTGCAAGAGTGTGACTCTCACACCAGAAGGAATTACAAAAGTGTCAGAATAACTTGCTCTTTGTATAAACTCCGGGTGACCTCTTCCTAGTTTTGGAATTTGCCCAAGTTCAGACATAGCTAGAGCATACTTTTTCTTCAGCTATGTTTAAGAAATTTAACCTAGACATACTGGAAAATATGCTAGAAAAAATAAAAAAGAAAAACTACAGTAGAGCATGAAGTAGTGCTTTAAAGCAAAAATAAATGTTATAATATTAACCTAGAAAGTATGATATTCATCAACTTTGTCATCAGACAAACTAATTTTGGTTTTTAGCTTAATATACCTTTACTTAATTAGATTACTGATCCCTAGTACATATTAGTGCCAAAGAAGTAATATTTTACCTGAGGTAATAATAAAAGCTAATATATGCTGTGTGTTTACTATATGCTAGGCTTGGTCTTAGGAGGTATGAATAAGGACCCTGAAACAGAGGGAGATTAAGTAATTTTTCCTAGAAAAATATATTAACAGTATCTTTATTCAAAGCAAGTTAGATTGGAAGTAATTTTTTGCCATAAGCCATAAGGTATTAAAACATTAAATATGTCAGTGTAGTTCGATATTCTGTATGTATCCCCAAACTGGTTCTTGCTTACAACAGTGACATCTGCAGTTCTCAGGAAATACTATTATCTGACAGTGTAGATAACTGGAGAAGATAATTAAATGATTGCTACTTGTAACTGAATTAGATCTTGATGTCATATCTCAGGAGAGGGTAGGATTTAGTTGAAATTAGAATAGACTGACAGTACCTAAAATTATTTTGAAACTAGGAAGAAAAGTCATTGTCACATTAAGTAAACAGATCTTAAAATTTCTTCTAATTCCATTTTTTTATAAAATTCCTGTGTCTTTTTTTTGTATGTGTGTGTACATAGATTATTTTTACTTTTAGCCTTATAATATTGAAAATAATAGCAGAAAATATATATGTTCTTAGTACAGAGGAAGGTTTCTAAAAAATGGTTTTATTGTTTGTCATCTGGTAAAGCACTTAGCTAAGATATGTTCAAATGTACCTAGGGCTTTGAAAACAGACAAAAGGACATTGGAACAAAATAGGACTTTAAATTAGTAACAGTGCATTATACTAAGGCACCAATTGGCCTTGAGTTTGGTGGCACTAATAGGAGTGGACTTAGGTTGAATGCAAGAGAGTTGGCTTGCCATTTTTCTGCCTAGTAAATGCATTCAGTCCCTAATGAAAATATTAGGTGCATGAGATAAAATTAATTTCATTTTTCATTATTGTTTCTGTTTTTTAGCTATTTTGTCTTTACCGCAAGCTTACCCTTCTCAAATCTAGCTCCTTCACTGCAGGATAAAGCAGCTGAAGTCATTCTTTGTTTATTATACCAAGACAGTTGCCATAGAAATAATATAATGTTATAAAATAGTCATCATAAATTAAATCCAGAGTCAAGAAGGAACATATGGGTCAGGTAGAGATTGTATGCTTATTTATAAACAATATCCTTGGTAATCATAAAAAATGTCAAGGTAAATTACAGAGAAAACATAGAGAAAAATGAACTTAGAGCTTTAGAAAGTTCTTCGCAGAATTTAAATATCGCACTTCAAGCAGGTGTTTTGTAAAAGGAGTTTGTGGATTATTAACCTCCCCCAAACTACATTTCTGGCTACAAACCATTTTTCTACATCTCTTCATTGTACCCACGTACTCTCTTTGTAGCTCTCTTTGAATCCCAGTTCAATTATTGGTATGCTCAATGTGTAAGTAACATTTTCTCTTCATGTGTTTTAATCGGTCGACAAATAGTGTTTCAAAAGGTGATGGATAGCTTTTATTTCATGCATTTTGCTATACGTTTTTGAATTGGCACTAGTTGACATTTTATTATGTCTGGCTACACAATGTGGAAGTATAAAATATTAATCTTTTCATATCATATGAAATCGTAATCTCAATTAAATCTGATCATTATTTTCTAAAAGAAATTCTGAGGATTCTTTTGTCCTGAAAAATGTTTGATTCTCATTTTTCTGGACACTGTTTTGTTCTTTTTTTGATAATGTAAAATGATTTCCCACTTGTCCAGTCATGATATTTGAGATGACATGATGTAATTTTCCTGTGTAAAATACTGAACTAAGGTTTGCCCTGTATCTATAAAAGGAAAACTAGTTTATACAAGTTTTGAATTTGGAAAAGTCTTAATTAAACTCCACTGGGGTCTAATCTGGCATTCCACCTTATCCCAAATTTCTTCATTCATCTAACATAGTAATTCAGTGTCCATCTCATGGTATTTTAATAGGAAATCCGCCTTTCTCCTTGTAAATCATGGCACATAAAAATTGTAAGTTTTTAAAATGAAAACTCTTTATTCCCTTTCTAGTAGCCTGTACTGTCCCCTATCCCCGCCCCCAAATCCAACCACTACTCCCCAGGAAAAAAGATCACTGCGGCAGTCAACCGGGGGATCACTAATGATTCACTTAAGGGTTCTTAAGTGAGTGAAGTTAAAACAAAAGGGTGAGACTCACTAATATAGTGCAATCCCTTGCAGTCCACATTTTCTTATGACCTTGGAAAAAATATTAATATGTCATTACAGATTTGGTTCTCAGTGAAAATTTCAAGAATATCATCATTATCATGTTTTCTTTTTTCTCTCAAATTCCCTTCTTTGAAACTTATTCATCTGACTGCATTGTATTAATTGATCTCACAATGGCTTCTCATAAAAGTAAAACCAAACAAATAAATACCTAAAAAGAAACAAGCAGGAATAAAGATTACATGTAAATTGCATAGACTTAATGAGCATCAAGGGATCTGTGAGTTTGGCTTGTCAAAACCAAATGTTCTAGATATGGAAATCATATCTCATATCTTTAAAGAATTTTCAGGCTTTTAGTAGTCTGCCAAAAACTATAAGGGAGAAAGAAGTAAAATACCATTATTGAGTACTCAGCATGTATATGGTGGTACCTCACCTAGAACATTTATTCGTTGACATAAAAGTAACTCACCTGGTACTTTATGGTATTTCTCTCATTTACTTACAATAATCTTAATAGGTAGGCATTAATCTGTCTAGTTTCCATATTGGAAAAGCAGTGATCAGAGAGATGAAGTGATTCATGGTAAGTGTCACACTAGAAGTAAAGAATAGATTTTTATGTTGTCTTCCAGATCCCATAGCTAATGTTCTTTACTTCATACTTTGTTTATTTGAATTATCCAGAATTGTAATAATGATGTGAAGTCAAGCAGCAAGAACAATTTGAACAGCATACACATTTCATTGAACATGGTATAGTTTTATTTTCATCAGGAGGAAAAAATAAGACTAAAATAGGCTAAAAATAAAATTCTAGAATTCCCAAAGAATTTTGTCTTGAATTTGTTTACTTAATTTCAGGATACCAATGTCTATAATATTTAATTCATTACCAAATTTGGAAAGCTTTTAAGAAATCTTTCTTTCTAGTAGTTATAAGCACTGTACATAAAAATGTAAATGAAAATAAAAGATTAAATTGTAGTGAATATCATAATATATTCTTACTAGCATTAAAATAATTCTCTTCTTTGTACATGGATGATAATATAACATTAAAAATTTTCCAAAAACTTTAATGTCTATTACTTACACTTTTTAAAAGAAATATGTCCCCTCCTCTCCTATGAATTAGTGTTGTTCATATTAACAGATCAGGGTTCTCTCATTAAGCTCTCTTAACATCTAGATTTGGGGTACTCTGAATTCAGCCTTTTGAAATTTAGCCTTCATTTATTTATTCACTCAGCTATTCATTAATTTACCCAACTGAGTTTAAGTAACAACTAAACTGGTATGTTGTGCTAGGTTATGGTGATATAGGAAAGATGAACTAGACATTAGCAATTTCTTTTTTTTTTTCAAATTGTATCCAGCTTTATTAAAGACACTTTCCATAAACAATCATGGTATTTCAGGCAGGACATGGGCAGACAATCATTAACAGTATACAACAACTTTCAAACTCCCTTCTTTGACGGACTACCAAAAATCAGAAAGCCACTATAAAACCCAATGAACTCTTCATCTGATGCTCTGAACAGGGAAAGTTTAGATTGAGGGTTGACATTTCACATTTAGCATGTTGTTTAACAACTTTTCACGAGCCGACCCTGACTTTCAGGAAGTGAAATGAAAATAGCAGAATTTATCTGAAGATCCACAATCTAGAAATGGAATCACTGCTCTTTTGACAGGTGCCATCTCAGTGGCATCACTGGCAAGCCCAGATTGCCTGACACACTGGTAATCAATGACTGGGGGTCAGGTCCCAACAGATGTCTGGGCTTAAGGGAGTTAAATCTATGCTGAAAGATGGAAAGGGGGAAGAGGACATAAAAATGAATTTGTCTTTCCATACCGCAAGGCTTTTGTGTGCCAAGGTGGCCATGTGTGTCAAAGTCAGGGAATCCCTCCTCCTGGGAGCCAAGAGGAAGTCTCTCAAAACTAGAAGGGAAAGGCGTTTCCCCACATCAATCCAGCTTTGGAGACAGTCTATTAGTGACATATGCCTCTTCCCCCAAAACAACAATGAAGTGTTCTGTGTGCTAACAACATAGCTTAAAAAAAAAAAAAAAAGTAAAACAAAATTCTGCATTTTTATAAAACTTGATAAAAAAAAGTATTTCAAACTGTACAGTCACCAGAAGTACACAGTTATCAAAAATGCACACACTTCACTTGGCATCTCCAGCACCTTCAGCTTTCTGTGCCTGGTCTGTTTTGGCATCTCCATTTTCTGCAGGGTTATTCCCTTTCTGCCAGCATCAGCTTTTCCCTTTTTCCTTTTGGGTACCTTCTCTCCCTTCTTTGCAGGGGCCTTTTTAGGCTTGGGCTCTGGCTCTGGAGGAGCAGGTTTAGCAGACAACCTCGCAGATCTTCTCTGTGGTTCATCCTTCACCTTGGCTTTATCTCCTTTAGCATCCCCTTCAGCCTTTCTCATAGGCATGGTGGCGACGGCGGTGGGACGTAGGCGCTGAGCGCGGGATGCAGCGGCGCGTGGGCTTTGGTCGGTCCGGGGGTCGCTCTCGCCTCTTCTTATTCCAGCAATTTCTTTAAGACACATGATGAATTTCATATATTTATCTATCCCACTATCCAACAAAAATTAAATCAATATAATTCAACAAATATTTAGTGAGCACTGAGTTGAGTAGCAAAGATAAAAATGAAAAAAATATTCTCATCAAAGATCTTCTATATTGCAAGGGAAAATAAATATCGAAGACTAATTATGACACTATGATATGAGAATTAGTAATAAAATCCATAATGTAGCAAAGAGGGATAATTTTTCTGGAAGGAATATGGAACAGCTTCTCAAAAATGATGTATTTGTGGAAATGTGCTTGATTCTGCCAAATAGAAAAGATGAGGAAGTTCCCCTAGGCAAAACAAATGATATTACTAAAACAGGTAAAAGTGATGTGTCTACAAATCTGTTTTGGGCTTAACTGGCTTTTTTTGCAGCTCTTGTTTGAACCCCCAGTTCAATTATAGGTATAGTCAATGTGGAGCAAATTCTTCCTTCTTTTTTGCTTTTTAATCAATCCATGAAGGACACATTTTCTACAATGATGAATAGGTCTTATTTCATGCATTTTTTGCTCTTGTTGCCCAGGCTGGTGTGTAATGGCCTGACCTTGGCTCACTGTAGCCTCTGCCTCCCAGGTTCAAGCAATTCTCCTGCCTCAGATTCTGGAGTAGCTGGGATTACAGGTGCTCACCACCATGCCTGGCTAATTTTTTGTATGTTTAGCAGAGATGAGTGTTCCCCATGTTGGTCAGGCTGGTCTCGAACTCCTGACCTCAGATGATCTGCCTGCTTCCACCTCCCAAGGTGCTGGTATTACAAGTGTGAGCCACTGTGCCCAGCTGATGTTTGTAAAAAGATTTTTATTTTTCAAAAAAAAAAAAGTTTTTTTTTTTTTTTAACTCTGACTTTTTAGTTGGATTCAGCTAGAGAATTGGCCCAATTTATCTAGTCTACCATTACCTAAAGAATAATCAAAAAACATTTAGACTACTATCTTAGACTAATGCTTGCAATCTCAATGAATTTGCAATCTTTAATTACCCCTGATCTCTCCTCCACATTGCTGCCAGATCAATATTTTTGGTTTTTGTTCTTTTTTAAGATGGAGTTTTGCTCTGTCGCTCAAGCTGGAGCACAGTGGCACAATCTTGGCTCACTGCAATCTCCACCTCTTGGGTTCAAGGTATTCTCCTGTCTCAGCCTCCCTAGTAGTTGAGATTATAGGCGCCCACCACCACTCCCAGCTAATTTTTGTATTTGTGGTAGAGATGGGGTTTTACCATGTTGATCAGGCTGGTCTTGAACTCCTGCCCTCAGGTGATTCACCCGCCTTGGCCTCCCAAAGTGCTAAGATTATAGGTGTGAGCCACTGTGCCCGGCCCCAGATCAACATTTTTAAAATAACATTCCCATCAAGTTGTTTCCTGCTCAAAAAAATGTTTTCAGGACTCTCATTGTATAGTAGCCATGTACTATAACAATTTGGTGAAACTGGAACTTCCCAGTATTTCCCTTCCTGTGTGTTTCTGGATCAGCATTGACCAATAAAGACACGTTGGATGATATTGGGGAGGTCGAAATAAAGCAGCTGCTAATTTTTTTAATGTTTTAGTGACTGGTGGAGGGCAGGCATATTGTCACTACTCTTCAGCTAACTCACCTCATAGGCACAGGAAGGCACCCCAAATCCCAGTTCCCCCATGTACTGTGCTGAGCAGTGTTGTCCTATTAACTTTCACATTCAACAGTAACCTCAGAATATGAACTTATTTGGTAATAGAGTCTTTGCAACTGTAATTACTTATATTAAGATTAGGTCATGTTGGATTATGCGAGGCCCTAAATCCCATGACTAGTGTTCTTATAAGAAGGTCATGTGAAGACACAGAGACACAGACATGCAGGGAAGAATGCTGAGTGACTGTGGAGACAGCGATTGGACTGATGCAGCTTGGCCAAGGAAGGCCAAGGATTGCCACCGCTACCCGAAGCTGGAAGGGACTCTCCCTACGAGCCCTGAGAGGGTGCATGGGCCAGCCAATACCTTGCTTTTGGAGTCCTGGCCTCCTGAACTGTGAGGGACTAACTATGTGTGGTCGAAGACTCCCAGTTTCTCTGGTGCTTTGTTATGGCAGCCCTAGGAAATGAACACAGTCCAGCTTCTGCCAGATCTCACCCATCAGTTTCTTCAACTCCTGGACTGAGTGCATGGTCAACTCCATGGTGAAGGGCATAACTTTCATCTTCTTTTTTTTGAGACAGAGTCTCACTCTTGTTGCCCAGGCTGGAGTGCAATGGTGTGAACTTGGCTCACTGCAACCTCAGCCTCCTGTGTTCAAGCAATTCTCCTGCCTCAGCCTCCCGAGCAGCTGGGATTACAGGCGTGTGCCACCATGCCAAGCTAAATTTTGTATTTTTACTAGAGACGAGGTTTCACCATGTTGGCCAGGCTGATCTTGAACTCCTGAAACAAAACATTCATCATTTGGTCTAACAAGATAAAGACTGGACAAATTGAGAGGCAAACAGGACTTAGATGTTGGAGAACATTGTACATTGTATTAAAGAGTGATGGACATCCATTAAGGTGTTTCAAGCAAAGAAATAATATGTTTAAGTTTACATATTACAACATCTTTCAGTCACTTACATATATGAAGAGCAAATTTAGGCTTCCCTAGCTTTAGTTTGCTTTACTTAACCTAGGGAATCCTGTTAGGAAGGGGATCTAACCCCATACATAACATCATGGGGCAGAAGAGTTAAATTGGACATGAGAGGACACTTTTGAGAAGTGAAGAATATTGGTGCTAAAGATCTTCAGAATGCCTGCTTGATTTGTTTAAGTTATATGCAGAAGCAGATATTCCCTAATAAGATCCCAATTCCTGGATAAATTAGTAAAACATCTTCAATTCAGAGGCAGATATTTGGTTTCCCAATCCAAATTCACACAGCTCATCTTTTATGTGTTCTTTCATTGCTTTATATCCTAGCCAGACCTCAGACCTTTCTAAGAGCAAATCTCCTTTTGAGTGTACCACAGAGAGAGAATGAGATATACTCACTAGTTCTATGGCATGATTTGTAGGCTCTGGAAGAGGTGTATTACAGTTGAATACACAGTCTGGAGATCATAAAAGAGTCCATATTTAAGAAAAACTTGTAGGTCATTAGTATACAGATATTTTTGAAAGCCAAGAAATTGGGAAAGAAAAGCAAGAGAGTAAGTCTAGACTCAGAAGAAACCAAGCCCTGGGATTCAGCAACGTTGAGAAATCTGAGAGAAAAAAAGAGCCGGTAAAGGAGACTGAGAAGAGGCTTTCTGTAAAATAGGAGAAAAACAAGTGAAAAGTGGTGTCCTAGAGGCTAAATAGGAACAATTTCAAGAAGTAAGGAGTAATCCCTTCCACAAATGCAGCTGAAGTGTTGAATAACATGAGCAATGCAAATATATGTGGCCACAGGGAAGCCATTGGTAACCTTGATAAAGGATTTCAGTGTCAGAGTGAGAGACTGAGAAAATGGGAGAAGAATTGCAGATAGTGAATCTAGACAACTCTTTTGAGAAGTTTTGTTGAAAAGAAGATCTGTGAAAAGAAGTGAGATGAAGTGCTAGCTGGAGGGGAAAGTTGAATTAATAGAGATTTTTCCTCCAACTTTTTGTTATAAAATTTGTCAAACGTGACAAAGTTGACAGAGGATATCTGTATAGCTGCCATCTGGGTTTAACAGTTATTGATATTTTGCCATATATGTTTTTATGTTAAATTTTCTGTGATATTTAAAAGTACATTGCAGATGTTAACAAAAGACCCATGAGATCTGCAGAGGTGAAAGGTAAATTTTATTTTCTAAAAGCAATCCTCAGATTGGAGAAATTCAGACTGGTGAAAAATTAAAGTGTACTCCCATGAAAAATTAAGGAGTAGGAGATTATAGAGGCAAAAACCACAAGATGCAATAGGAGGGGGGAATCAAATGCAGAAGACTGGATGACTTTAAGCACAACATCTTATTTTTTTTTATTGGCTGGCCTCAAGAAGTCTGTTGGTAGTCAGCTGGGGAATTTCCAGTCTATCTTGGCACGAACAACAGAAACTGGTTTAGCTTATTTGTAGAAAGGAAGATCCTGTGACACTTTCAGAACATTGCTTTGAGAATAAAGGTACATGATTGCTGTCTCACCAAGCCATGGTCTCCTGATTCTGTTTTAACTTCGAATGTCTCAGCCATAGGGAATTCATTTTGTCTTTCAGCTGGGGCATGCTTTAACACAGACATCAGATAGTTCACTCCAAAATATTTTAATGTGTCTATTTTCAAAATAAGATGATTCTGCTACATCATTGTAGTACTGTTACTATACCTGCAATCATTAAACATTCAGTTCCTACTGAAATTTCCAAGAAATTTTCCCCAAATGTCTTTTCAAGCTACTTTGTTTTTCCCAAGTTAGGAACTAAATAAAGATCCAAGTGTACTCTTTTTATTCTAATTCTTTAGTATTTTTTTCCTATGACATGACTTGCTGAAGAGATTGGGCCAGTTGTCATGTAGAATATTCCACATTCTGAATTTTTCTGATTGCTTTCTTGTAACATTGAACATTTTGTGTCTCTATAGCCCCACTCCCAACCCCACTCCACTTCCACCTCTGGTTATTTATCACATAATCAGCGAGTTAAGTCTAAAGCCTTGATTAGATTCTGATTGAGCTTTTTTGTTTGTTTGTTTTTACCATAGTCCTTCATGGGTGATGCTTGAATATCATTTCACATCTCATGGGTATTATATAATATCTTAATGTCCCACTATTATGGATGCTGTTTGATCACATGATCTTTTTTTTTTAAGATAGGAGAAAAATACAACATGTTTTTATGCTAATGAAAATGATCCAGTGAGCAAGAGAAATTGATGATTTAAGAGAATACCCAATTAGTAGAGTGATGCCTTCTGGTGGGCAAGAGTAATGCGCAAGCTGAGTAGCTGGCCATAGGAACACAACTGGATCACGTCAAGTAATGGATCACATGAGGAGGAATTCAGAGAATGTGGTCACAGACACACAGACATCTGTGGGACAAAATGGTGCAAGTTCTTTTTTCGATTACTTTTATTTTCTCTGTGAAGTAGGAAGCAGGATCATGAGCTGAGAGGAAGGATGGAGAAGGAGACATTGAAACTTAGAGAAGAGAAATGTATAAAAAGTTGTTAAAAAGCAGGAGAGTGAATGGAATAGGATATATTGAAAGCAGCTAGAAATGGGACAGAAGGTGCATTTTGAAAGAGTGACAATGAACTAGGAGCTTAAATCCTGTCAAGGTATGATGTAGTTACTAGATGACTGCAACAGGAGAGATACAGTATGATAATATGGGATATGAGCCAAAAATAAGGGAAGATATATGGTCTAGCTAACAGCAAAGATGAGCAATAAGCGATTCTACCCCGTCTTCATCCCAGTAGAAAATGGAATATGGGAGGGACTATAGACACTAATTAAGAAAACTTCAGAGAAAGCATGGAAAGTAATAGTATCAGCTGTTGAGCACT